CCACACTGCCAGGGATAACTTTCAACGTGCAGACCCGCAATGATTCCTTGACCTCCTTGGGAGGACCTGTCAGTGACTCCCTGTCACCTTGATGGTCAAGTCCAAAGGTCATTAGCTGCTATACCAGGTACTGCCTGCATTCCTGCCTCTTCTCCCACCACCTGCCCTGGTCATTCTATGCTCTGGCTCCTCCATGCTTTTTCTCCAATTCTACCACTTAGCATGCTCTTTCCATAACAGTTATGGTTACTGGGCTCCCTGAGAGCAGGGAAATTAGCATGTAGGGGGTCTATTAGGGGGTGCTCAGAAGTATGGAAGGGAGAGGAAGGAAGCAGTGTCAGACAGGAGAAGTGAAGCTGCAGCAGAGTCTTGACAGAACCTCGGGCAACATTTCAGGGAGTTGGGAAGATGGGATGGCCCTTCGAAGGTATCCAAAGTGGGGCGCAAGGATCAGGCTTATCCCCTTGTCTATTAGTCATTGGATGCTTCCCTGGGAAATGGGGCATGACCTTGGGCAAGAAGCCTCTCTTCAACTGAGGCCATTCCCTAAGGAGACCAACAGTTGCTGAGAGCTGTCTGACCACTAACAGCTGCAGCCTGCCTGCCAAGTCATTAAAATAAGAATTTATTAATAATAATAATCATTTTTGATAAAAATTATGTGCTTGGTGATGACTGTGGTACCCAGTCTAAAGGCAGAGAGAGTAAATTCCCTTGCGATTGGCTCAACCGCAATTCCAAGCCCTTCCTCAGGAAAGGACTTCACTCTACAGACAGGGAAACTGAGGCCCAGAGAAGGTCTCAAGTCATCTACCACCGTGACACAGTCTTAGAAGTAACTAACGTTGGAACGGTTATACCAGATTGTACCAGATGCTTTATGAGCCTTATCTCATGAACTACTCATAAAAATTCGGTAGCGCTCATTTTCATTTCACATATATGGAAACAGGCTGAGAGCAGCCAGCTGAGTAACTTGTCCGAGATTGCACAGCTAGTAAGTGGGGGACCTAGGATCTGAACCCAAGTCACTCTGACTCTAGACCCCATAACGAGTAACCACCACGATGAATCGCTTTTTCACGGTGAAGCGTGCCGGCACCCTGGACCTGGTGAGATGTTGTGGAATGTGTGTGTGTTGCTCTTATTTCTAAGAATAGGTACCACATTACCACATAAAGCACAGCATTTCTCTTCTGTTTTCATGATCTGAGATTAAGCAAATGTGCTTCCACATGGAAGATCCGTTGTACATCAACTATCCATCGGGGAATACCTAAGTAAGTTTCAGCTCCCATGTCCATTGCATGCCAGTGCCTCTGGACCTGGTGGCCTTGCTCCTTCCACAGCTCTGATGTTCATTCAACAGAAGCATTCGGTTACAACCTGAAAGGTGTGCATCTGAGTGTCCTTCAGCAAATCTGGGGAACTCTCCTTCTGCCCTCCCCAAACTCCCAGGTCTGAAGGGGGGCAGCCTTGCCAGCAAGGGGGTCCTACTTGGGTTTATAAAAGCCCTTCCCGAGACCCAAGAAACCACCAAAATCTATTCCTTTTCCTCTCCTGCTTCATCAAAATAAAACCTATTCTAAAACTCTGAAATGTAAAGATTTCCCAATGTAGAAATGGTGTTAAATTACAATACTATGATGTGACCCAAGAAACTCTAAACTGTGTCAGAAAATGTGGGTTAATTTGTTTAACAAACACTCACTGTATTCCCACCAGATGCCAGGCCCTGGGCCAGATGCTGGAGGTTGCAGTGTTTGGGGAGTTGGCCATTTAGTAGAGTCGATTTCACATGTTCTCATGGATAAGCATCACTTGGGAAACTTGCTAGTAACGCACATTCCTGAACCCCATCCCCAGAGTTTCTGATTCATCGGGTGGGGCTGAGGTTTAGGATGCTGCGTTTTAAACGGTCCACAGGTGGTTCTGAAGTAAGTGGTTTTCAGTCATATCTTGAGAAACCCCGACCTGGTAGATTCTAGTTCTGATCAGCTTAAGTCCCTTAACCTCCGGATGATAGGGATTTGGAAGGCATACATGATTGGTAGTGGCTTCAAGATGCCTTAGGAAGACTTCCTAGAAAGGTGTTCTGTGTCACACCAACATGACATCATTTCTTCAAACAAGAGGAAGATATTGTGTCATCATGTGGCCGAAGGTGACAAGTTGAAAAATTTCACTGGAACAATTCAAGAGGGGTGTGTGTGTGTGTGTGTGTGTGTGTGTGTGTGTGTAAACTCACCAACTGTACACTTAAGCTTTTGTACCTTACTGTATAGATGTTTACTGTATGAATGTGATGCCTCCATTTAAAAAATGTTAAGGAAGTGTACGACAAAGTGGGTAAGAGGTTTAAAGAGGCCATTCTAGAGAGTAGGAGAGGGTAGGAGTTGGGTTCTCGCAGGAAAGAAAATGAGGCACCAGGGAACTCGTCTGCAGCTGGTGGAGTAGAGAGAGGGCTGGAAATGGGAGTGGGCAGATGTGGATGGGAAGAGGCTAAAGGGTTCAGGTCCCATGAGCCAGACACTTGGAGCACAAATGGAAGGAAAGACAGAGAAGAGAAGAAAGATGGGAGAGAGGGAAGGAAAGAGGAAGCAGAAGAGAGGAGAAAGAAACCGAAGAAGAGGGCCTGGCCCAAGGAGGAGCTTACAGTCTTGGGGCTCTGCCCATGTGGCCTTTAGCAAGTTGTCTGATTGCTGCAAGCCTGTGTGTGTCTCTTTAAAATGAGGCTGGGCCTCTGAAAGTGAGGAGGGATAGAGATGGTGAACGTGAAAGGCTGTTTGTAACTCCGAAGGGCTGCTAAATGCTAGTCATTATGGACATATATCAGCTCAGGGGAAGGCCCACTGCAGGTGTGGATATGAGCATGCGTCCCAGTTCAGCTCCCCAGGTGGCTGTCCACATCTTCCCCACACCTGACCACCAAACTCACAGGAGTTTGGTAAGAGGTTTTCTTTCCTTTTCTTTTCTGCTCTGAGCTAGCTCGAATGTTGCTTTGTGCAGGCCTGGGCATGAGATTTCTTCCAACCTTCCCCCCCTCACCCCCCCCACACACACCTCCAGCTGTTCTCCTTGACCCCCAGATGCTCCTTCCACCTTCTCCCAGGCAGGGCCAGCTGTTGCCACGCAGGCCACCTGCCTCCTCCCTGGCCTGGATCACTAGTTGGAAGCCAGAGGCCTCCAGGGACCAAGGCAGTTTGCCGAAGGCCCTTGGGGAAGGAGGGGAAATAAGACAAGCACTAAAATTAGATGAATTGTCGAGAAATGTTTTTTTAATTAAAAGTGTAGCTCTTTTTCTATGCAGAGTCTCTTTAAAGACAATTGCACTCCCTGAGTGGCAGGTGGAGAGCTCAGCAGCTCTCCCCAAAGCCAGGGAGGGAAGGGAGGCAAGAGCCAGGAGATGGTGTAACTGGCTCTTTCCTCTTTTAGGGGTAAGAATGCAAAAGGGAGAAACGGGCAGAATGGGGAAGGGAGGGTAGCTGTTAAGGGATCTGCTTGGTGACTCCCCAGGCAGAGGCTCCTGGAGGAGGGGACCAAGCTTGTTGGGGACCCTGAAGCTGGGATTTTGTTTTTCTTTTGTTCCATAAAATTATGCCACCTTCTCAGCCCCTCTCCCCCTTGCTAGCCCCAACCACCCACCAGCCCTGAAACCGCAGCTGGAACCACCCGCACCTTTGGCCTTGGGGGCCACCCTGGCAGACAGAGGATTGGGAGGGAGGGAGAGAGAGAGAGAAGAGAGAGAGAGTAGAGACAGAGGGACAGAGGGGAGAGAGGGAGGACTTGGTGGGGAGGGGGGGAGTCGGAGAGCCTGCAGGAGAGAAAGACCCTAGAGCCCGGGAATCTGTAGGACAGAAAGAGAAGAAAGAGGTAGAAGAAGAGGAAGAAGGGGAAGGGTGGGGAGGGGACAAAAATGACAGGTAGCGAAGCTGATGGGTGTGCAGCGACTTTGAGAAACAGAAGTGAACCGTCTGAGGGGGCGGCTCCCAGCAAACACGGGGTTCAGTTCATGGTGAAGGTCCTCAACCCGGTGGCGCCCCGGCCCACACTAAGCGCCGGGTCCTCTGCCCACACTGGGCGGCCGCAGTGCACGCGTGGGGGTTTCCAAGGGAACTGTGGCCCCCTCGTGCCCTAGGTGTGTGGACCCAGGAAGGAGGGCTCAGGCTCTGTGCCCCCCAGGCTAGGAGAGTGTGTCCTGGGGCACCCTCCCAGCTCCCCAAGATTTCTGTCTGCCACGTCCACAGTCCACATCCGTCACCACCGCATCAGGACTGGGTGCGGTGGGGGGGCCATCTCTGCAGGAACTACCGTCTACTTCATTCTCCTGCTCCTTCGCAGTTTCTCTCTGCCAGGAGAGAGACTTATCCTCAAGTTAGAGAAAAGGGAGACCCTGCCTGTTCCGGGCCCTGTGATTGCACAACGTCCAGAATACTGCCAGCTTGGAGATGCGGCTGGAGAACGATGGAAACCAGCAGCCTTAGGAGGCTGGACAGCCAGGGTGTCTGGAGACAAGTTCCTAAACATCGGAAACAGAAAGTGGGAGGTCGAGAGGGGAGGGCCGACACCACTGGGACAGAGTCTAGAGAGGAGACACTCAAACGAGTGGAAGGACCTCGCAGACTGTCTCTCCTGACGAAACCCCCCCAAACCTCATCCCTGGAGAAACCCCCCCAAACCTCATCCCTGGAGAAACCCCCCCAAACCTCATCCCTGGAGAAACCCCCCCAAACCTCATTCCTGGAGCGCAGGGGACCAGTGCCCTCCCAAGGCCCGAGCTGCCACCCTCTACCCGCCAGTCCCCACGCTAAGACTCAGCTGCTGGGTCTGCCTTCTTTTTTTTTGTTTTAGCTGTTTTTGTTTTCTCCTTCAAATACAAGACAAAAATACACCTCGTTTATCATCATAGATATATATATTTCACTCTCACCACATAAATACAAAACATCCAAAGATCCAAAACATTCAGAACAAAGTTAGTAGCCAGGATTCCGGGACACCTACCCGCGTTGGAATCGCTCATTATTTTCTTCACTAAAAATAATTTGCCTAAAAAAAAAAAAAAGAGGGAACAAAGCTTCCGACGTAAATAATTTACAATAAAATTACTATTTTTAAAATGCTCTAGGCTGGCTTCCGGTGGAGGAATACATTCTCGACACTGGGGTCTGTGGTTTTGGTTAAAATGCGGGTAGCGTGGCTGTGGGGACTGTCCTGTTGCTGCGGCACCAGTAAGGTCCAGGTCTCTGACTTGGGACCAGGGAAACCCTGGGGGTTTAGGGGAGGGATCCTTTCCAACCACCCAGGATGCCTATCTGGACCCGTGGGCTACGGACGGAGGAGACTGGGCCGCGCCGCTGTCCCAGGCTGCGTCCCGCCTCTCCCTCCGAAAAAATTCTGCTCTGAAATCCATCACGGCGTTTCCCCCGCGTCGGAAGAGTTTTGTGAATCCAGGAGTGGGGAGGACTCGAGAGGCACCGGGCACTGATTTGTTTGCAAACCCAGCAATGCTGCCCACAGCCACGCGTGGGGAGGCGGTGCGGAGGAGCGCCACGGAGCCGCGCCGCGCTCTCCTCCTGAGCAGCGCGAAGCTGTAGGCCACCGCCCAGCCACCTTGTAGAAGGTGATGCTGAATTTTCTTCCATTCGCTGCATGGGCTTTTCGTTTTGCTTTTCCCTTTTCAATTGCTGTTTACAAGGTTAACCCCCAGAACTTTCATTTGCACTGCCCGGTGGCGCATTCTCTGTGCCGAGTTTCCTTAGACCTTCCAAACTCCGTGGTGATGAGCATTTTAAAACCGGTTCCACTTCCTCTGGTTGAATGCGGTGGTGATCACTGATTATTGCTGATTGGGTCAAATGTGTTACCCCGGGGTCTGGGAGCCCAGGAGGTGGCTGCGATCGGAGTTTCTTTAACGCGAGAAACCTCAGCAGGATCTGTCCAGCCCGGAGCTGTGTGCGCCCGGCTCTCCGGAGAGGTCCGCAAAGGGGGGACCAGGGGCTCCCCACAGCCCTGGTTTCTCTGGCGAGAGGGAGGAATGGACTCCTTTTTGGTCTAAGGGGACCTGCCAGCTTTTTCAGCCCCTGGGCTCTGCGTGCAGCTTTTCTCTTCCGAATATTCTCAAGACTTTAACCATCAAGGGCGGCAGCGGCCGGACCCAGAGCAGGTGCGCTGTGCTCCGGCCTCAGAACCCGCCTTTGCCCTCCGGGGCCCAGCATCGGTTGGCGCGTCGGGTTGTCTAACTCGGGCCTTTCCCCTAATTCTTTGGATTCTCCTGGATGCAGAGGAAGTTTGGGGGGAGAGGGGATATAGGAAATACAGCCGGCCCTGCTGAGATAAAATTGGGAGAGAA